TGAAAATCGCTGGATTTATGCAATTTTAGTTTAATTAATGTCGTATAAAACTGACTGTTCGTACGAGTTTGCTTAAAACACGCGACTCAAAAAGTCCCAAAATGGCGGCTTAAGAAGCGTGTCCCGACCTTCTTATATAGACCTTGGCTGAACGTCACGACACTAGCGGCATCTCGTGATAAAAACTACAACTACGGGCTATGGAATAGTTCTGTAATTAGACGCTAGTCTGAAATACAGCAGACTATTTTCCTCTCATGCCATCTTGCGGTGAGAAAAGAAAACATGACGAAACGTCTGCATTTAATGTATTTTCGGGGCGACCCGTCGGCTACCCCATTGCTTGCTAAAACAGGCCTTTTTAGTGAGAGAGAGAGTTAAAATAAATTCGGAAAGTTGGCGATTAGTTGCAAATGGATTCTTCAGATCGTCATCGAAAAAGAACGAACTTTAGCAGTAACAGCAAAGTATCATATCGCATCTAGAAGGCAAGCTATGCAACCCAATGGCAGAGCTAGTTTTATTTAACTCTTTCCATTCTGTTTGTACTAACAAATAAGAGAGCCATTTTTCAATTTCATCGTGGATTGGCCGGGCTTACAATTAGTGGCTGAATAGTGAAAAACAGGGCACAATGTAGCCGGAATGGACCAAACCCGGATTTCCCAGAATGGTTGGCTGATGCCTTATTCACTTCGGCTTAAAACATATTACTTTTTAATATTTCTGTAAGTGAAAGTAGGAGCAAATACTATCTACTCGAAGATTTCTCCGGTTCTCCGAAATCTCCGAAAAATTCCCAGAGGATTGTTCGTTCGTGGATATGTTGGATCCTATTCCTCGCCAATCGTGGGCTTGGCTGAACTTATAATGAGCTTGTTAAAAACAGATCCTCTTAGTGCCCACTGGGCAGAAAAAGTTTTAAAAATAATCAAGGTTTGCTTCGCTTGTGTGGAACACTGACCATCTAGTGCCAAAGATGATTCCTTAAGCCACTAGCTTCACAATTGTTCCTATGACCCGCTAGGCAGGTCAAGAGAAAATTAAATATCACGATATGCAGGATTCTTTTTATTAACTGTTTCGGCCCTGTGAGCAGTGCCGTAACTAGGCAGGTGCAACAGGTGCACCTGCACAGGGTTCACTTGGAAGGGGAGACCAAAATGCATGTATTTGTTTTATTATTTTTCCAAACCTAATTAATTAAGGGGCCTAATTGCAAATTCTTGCACAGGGCACAGGAATGGCTAGTTACGGCACTGCCTGTGAGTATCCTAAAAGGACTTTTCAGCAAACCCATTCTTGTTGTTTCTTGACCCGTCCGGATTCGATCCCGGAAGGTTAACCTTTTAGTGCTCTCAGAGCGTAAAGAGGTTTATGGGTCCTTCAGAAAAAAAGATCCCGGAAGGTTAAGGTGGATGTCTGACAGCTTAACCGTCTCCCTCGGTTATCGTCGGTTTCGGTGTTAGTCGATTTTTTTCACGAAAAATTTGTCCGGTTTTCGTCAGTTGCCTCAGATTTCGTGGGCGTGCCTACGAAATCTGAGGCAACTGATCATTCTAAACTGTGTGAGGTTAGTGTATATCATGTAATTTTCTATAGTTACTGTCTTGAAATGTATACGTGAGCTCACATTAAATTATTTGTTGTTCAGCTTCATTTCGAAGAATCGCAGTTTGAACTGAAAAGAGCTGACGGAAGGAAGCTGCTGAAATGGAATGCGGTTCCCACAATTTTTAATGTGAAAAAGTTGAAAAATGTTTCCTTATTTGTCTCCATAAATAATTTCATTGTTTAAATTTTGAGTATTTATTTGTGATGTGACTTGGTGAAATTGTTTTTGTTGTTTTTTAACTCGCCTCAGATTTCGTGGGCGTGCCTACGTGTTTTCCTGCTTAGTGTGGCATTTTTTTGTTGTTTTTTTAACTCTTTCCGCCCTGTGGGCACTAAGAGGGCCTCTTTTTGCAAGCCCACTGTGGGTTCGGCCAGGCCCACAATGGGACTGCCGGGTGGTGAGGGACAGGACCAGACATATCCGAACGGACCAACCCCCGAAAGATTCATGGGGATTTTTCGACCCCTGTTCGGATTCGAACCCGGGTCCCCCAGAGCGGTAGGCTGCCATCCGGCCGCTTAGTGTGGCGTTGTTTCTCGTTATGTGAGCATTACCCCACCCGTCTAGCCAAACAATTCCATTGCTTTCCTTTCCTTTTAGCTCCATCATGGGAACAAAGAAAGTTTACAGAGCCAGGAACCTGATCGAGTTTAAGAAGGAAATCATTGAAAAATACGAGAGTGACAGTGACATTAAGATTGCGGGATGTACGGAGAGTCGACATACGAAAAGTTTCATTGTGACGATAAAGGAAGCAATAAAGGATTTCGCTACATTAGCCAATGTAGCGAAAGGCGTGAATGTGAAAACGAAACAGAGATCGCAAACAATTCAAGATGTCATGTTAAATGTTCATTTATTCTTTACACTAGTCTTTTATACTCAGTTTATATTAATTTCTTTTTGGTTTTAGTATTAAACACTACACTTATTCTCTATAAAATGTGTTTTTGGTATGTATTTTGGAGTCTGTACAACGAATTAATTGGATTTACATTAATTCATATGGAAATAATTGCCTCGGTTTTCGTCGGTTTCGGATTTCGCCCATTGTTTTCGGGCAGATCATCGACGAGAACCGAGGTATCACTGTCCTAGTAATATAAGAGGCCGAAGACATCTGGCTGCTTCGTAGGGACGCCGCTAGCTGTTTGAACGCCCGTGTATAATACCGATTATGCCAACCCCAGTTTAACTACGACTACCTACGCTGAGCTTGCCAGAAAGGCTCTTTAGCGTTGTCTCATAAGGGCAGTGCCGGCCCGAGGCAAGTGTTAGGATGGTACGAGATCCTATTATGGCTCCCCCTTGGTTGCTCCTAATTTATACCCTTTAATTTTCTTTACCACTGAGGCGCCCCATAGGACTTAGAGCCTGGAGCGGCTGCTCCATTCGCCCTATGGTAGGGCTGGCTCTGCATAAGGGTGTGAAAAAAGAAAAGAAATACTTTACAAAGAAAAACTTTTTATTATTACTAAGTTATTTTTGTTTACTTAAGTGTAAAACCATATAAATATTTATCTACAGAAATTGAACTCTTCTTGCCTTTATGTTTGCGAAATCTGCTATCAATTTTCTTGTATCCAAGCTGTCTAAGATTTCGTGTTCAATTGAAACTATAGCTAAATTACTTAGTCTTTGCTGGTGCATTGTTGATCTTAAATAGTATTTTTTTTTTATAATTTTTAACTTTGAAAAGGACCTTTCACCAAATGCAACTGAAACCGGCAATGTAAGTAATATTCTTAGTGCTATTGCTGTGTTCGGAAATGTTGAAATTAAGTCATTAGTAAAAAGATATTGTAATAGGGTTTGTGGATCATTAGATTGGTTTTCTTGAAAATGCAACTTTAAAGTATTGATTTCATTAAACAAATCAATATCGTCAATGTCTGTTTCATTACTCGAATCGTCTTAAAACTTCGGATTTAAATCCTAACCAAGTTAAAATATCATTAATTATACTTAGACCCATATCAGAAAAATTATTAACAAAATACAGTAATTGCAATTTGATATGCGATAGAAGTGTTCGAATGCGTACAAGTACAAATTGAGAAAGAAGCTCTGTGGGGATTCCCTATTTTCGCCAGTCCTGTCAACTTCTGTCATAGAGCACGACTATGGGTACAGTTGACCTCCCTATAACACTGTTGATAATTCCGTTTTATATGAATTTCATGTTGTACGAGTCACTTAGATTTTACAAATATGTGAGCCGTTCACAGCCCGACACACGTATTTGTAAAATCTAATTGACTCGTACAACATGAAATTCATATAAAACGAAATTATCAACAGTGTTATAGGGGGGTCGACTTGTACTTGGCTTTCGAGCGCCGCCGAATGGTTCAACCTGCCGACAGACGTTTCGCATTGCATCTTAATTCTGATAAATGCCAATAGAAGCGCTGTTAACGCTATAATATAAATAAGAATATAGTAATTGCGCACCGGTCGGATTTTTTTCTCCATGCGAAGACATTTCTTATGCTATAAGTAGGGTGGGTATTATGACAATGACTTTGAATATTACGTGACCGATCGCTTGATTTGCCGCCTCCTGGATGTGCCGCCCGCGTGTGTTGCACTCCTTGAACACCCGCTTACGGCGGGCCTGCTGCTTCGGCACCGTGTGCAATTGCACACATTGCACAAATGGTAGTTACGCTACGGGCCTTATCCCGAGAAACAATTTTCTCCTCGATGCGTCACAGTAAAGGCAGTGAACACAATAATCACAAATGCATATTGAACGGTCGACAGTCTCCATTTTATAAAAAATAATTAGGGCCGTTTCCCGGTAAAGCGGCCTTAATACAGTTGGACAGGCAAGCCAATGACATAGTCCGTTTTATTTGAAACAAACCGTGTCATTGGCTCGCTTATTCGACTATATATCGTTCTAACATGCAATGCGTCCATTCTCTACAAATATCGTTTATAACGCGCTACATAATAAATTTTTCTTTATAAAATATTTTACATCAAATTTTAATTATTTTTCTTTATAATTTACAATAATACTCGGAAGACGAAATAACAACACACAATTACTTTATAAGCTAACTACGACGCCATACATTTAATAGGAATATAAATCATAACAACAATTAATAAATTTTTATGGCAATAAAAGCAATATTAATAACAATATTAACGTATAAATAAATTTATTACGATTTAACTCATAATTCTCGACCCCCCCGAAAAAAACATTTAAATATTTAAATCAAATAAAAATATCGTCTGTAAATTTAAAACGACGTCACTTAATAATAATAAATAAATAAATAAAACTAATAGGAATAATTTTATTTAAAAAATTTATAATTTTTTTTCCATTAGAAATTATATATAGAAGATATTTTTTAAAAATATATTTGACAGATTTACGTAACAGACGTAAATATTTAACGTCGGTAGAATTCAAACGGACAGAAACAAGATGGCCGACTTTCGAGACGTTAAGTTGAATTCGAACGAAAACAAAACGAATTGTGCAAACGTAGAACGATTGGACGATTATTCCGAAGCGGAATTTCGTGGAGCGACTCTTTCTTTATCTCAGGATGCGGAAACTCCGATGTTGTCACCGAACGAGAACAGTCAAGGGACCATCAGTCCGAGTGCATCCGATTCCATGCTGAGAAGCAAAAATGGTAAGTGCGAAATTCGCCTAAACGACAATATTTAGGCTTGTAAATCTATCGGGAGCGCCATAAATATCATTATATTAAAGGTTTAATTCAATGACGTCGATTGCGGCATAACTTCGCCAGTCAATATTTAAAGATTAATAATACAAATTTCGGTTTGGTTTGCGGTTCACACACGAGATTGCACTCGAATTCATTTAAAGTATTAATTTGCCCTGTTCTTGGCAGTAAAATTATTGTTAGATTGACAAGTATTGTGCAAACTCGTTAGTCCGACGTATATGGAATAGTGCCGGATTATCGAAGTAAGGAGATGTCGATGCAGAAAAGCATTTGTTTGTTTGCGAGATATTAGTGCATTGTGTGGTCGAAATGCATATACACAGTTGTTGGTTTTTTAAGATAATTTTTTGGTTGTCTTCTGCTTTTTTTAAACTTTTTTTTCTGCCCTAAAAGAAAAGGGGGCCCTGGGGCACTAACAGGGCTTTTTTTTTTTTTTTTCAAGGGTTTGGGTGAGGGATGGGGCCCAACATATCCAGATGGACCACCCCCAAAAAATTCCTGGGGATTATTCGATCCATCCGGATTCTGTCCCGGGTCCCCCGAAGCGGTAGGCTGCCACCTCAACTGCTTGGCTATCCTGCTTCGGTTGTCTGTAAACAATGTTGTCGAGTTGGAGGATTTCCACTAAAGTAGTTGATACAGTATTTTTCTGTTTAATTTAAAATATATGCTTTTCACCTCAAATTAGTAGTGAATTGCCCTTGTACATCATACTTTTCCCTTAACGATAGTCGTGGGAGATGTGGTGTTTTCAATGAGAAATTCTGGATGATCGATTTTTATATTTATACAATATTATTTTAAAATACTATAACTTCTTTTCGAGCAGCTAAGGGACAGTTCATAAATTATGTCTACATTTTTCTTGAAATTTTCACTTCCCCTCCACCCTCTTCTCCCGGTTTGTCTGAGTTTCTGTAACCTCCTCCCCTCTTTGGAGGTCTGACAAAAGTCAAACCCTCTTAAAACCTTTATTGTTTTATGAATGATAGGTACCGTAAATAGAAATAAAATGTATGAGAAATAATATAAAATACAGAAGAAACTAAAACGTCTTCAATTTCCTTCCGTCATGTTTGATTGCCAGGAACCAAAGCGCTTCTTGTGCAGAGACAACCTTTTATTAGAGGTTATGCCTCTGCAATATTATGTAAAACAGTTTTAAAAAACGTTTGCTGCTGATAAGCTAAAAATTGTAAAAATATATAATTTCAATTAAATGGCAATTAATTTTGAAATAAATATAATAAAATGAACAGGTGTCTACTGAAGCTCTGCCCTTCTTATCTGACTTGTCGTAACCCCCTCCCTCCCATATGATGTGGACATCATTTATGGATGGCCCCAAAGATGACGAGCCTAACTGTTTTTAATATCTGGTCTAAGCTCGAGTGTTTATGCTTGAGTTCGATGATATGCCATGTTTAGTGGGAACTAGTAGTGAACTTGTTTATGACTTGGCAACAGTGTCAGTAATACCCAAGTTGACTAGTGTCAAACTAAGCAAACTGTTGGATTATCAAGGTTTTTACTGTATTTAAATTCCAAACACTTTTCTTTTAATAAAACTTATGTATTATATATTNAGTCTCTCAAGTCTCTGTAGATATAACAAACACAGAAATAAATAACACAAAATAAATTGTAGTTATATGTCGATTCCATGCAACATGTCCAAACATGTAAGCCGAACAATAGTGTGGGGGGAGTGAGTAATCAAGAGTTGCGTGGCGCTCAAACAAAAGACGAATCGACAAGGTTTGAAAATCGCGTAACTGTGTTTGCATAAGTTGGGGTAGTGTAAGTTGAGGTATTACTGTATATTCATAATTAACTTTAATTTATATTTGGAGTATTATCTAACCAGGGATGGTGAACCTTTTTGAGTCCACATGCCATATAGTAAGCATACTTAGCTTTAAAGATGTGTATATGTCCCAAAGTTTTAGACTTTGAATAACAACATTTAAAGAAATTAAATGAATATGCTTTAATTAAAATAAATGTAAAAAAGGATGATTGGGTGATAAACCAAAAGGATGATTGAAAAAGAAAGATGATAAATTAAAATCATGTGACATGTTACGTGCCAGACTATTCCTCATGTGCCACTTTGGACATGCATGCCATAGGTTCATCACTCCTCATTTATACTTAATTAATTTATTAATTTCTGTTTAATTTGTGCAGAGTACTTTTATTTGCGTGTTTAGTTTTTGAAATAATAATAAAATTAGATACAGTCGACCCCCCCCCTATAATGCAGTAGATATGTTCCATTTTATAAGAATTTCACGTTGTAGGAATCCTTAAATATATGAGCCAATCACAGCTCGGCACGTATGCAGTTTACAGCTGTTTGAAAGGTTTTCTTTCATAAAATTAATCGATTTTAGACTAATTTGACTCAACATTTCCAAAACATGTATGATTTTTTGGGAATAATCCGTATAAACTATGCTATAAACAAAAAATTGTAGGATTACTTACTGAATGTGCACTGTTCGACGATGCCATTGCTTAAGCTTGCTTTCGTCATGGAGCAGCGCACTAAACAGCGGGCGCGTTTCTGATAAGTTATTTTCCTGCAAAAAATTTGTTGAACTTTGGAGACATCATTAATAGAAATAATTTTTATGGTCATTGAATAAGAAATGTTTTTTTCACAAGAAATGTACAAAATTACAGTAGTGTATTAGACTTATAGTACCTAATTTATATACTGTACAGACAATAGTAAACTCAACTTACCTGACTAAACTCGCCATAGCGTGTAAGTAGTTCGGCTGCTTGTCCACTATTGGTCCAGATTCAACCAATCCTGTCACAACACAAGTCGTGGATGACGTTTTACTGCATTTTACGAGTCTCTTTTAGCGTCTTTATACGAATACAGTTGCAATATTTTTGTCGCAATATACGAATCTGCATTATATGAACCCACGTTATAGGGGGTTGACTGTATGTACTTTTTTCTAATTTAACAAAATGTAGTAGAGTTACATTTTAATAAGGGATATATCCCTAGCACTCATTATATTTGTTTATTTTTTATCATAAGTGATTCTATTTTTAATACATTTTCTTTTGATGTTTAATGTTTTGTGATTTACTCTCATTATACTTTAATTAACTAAAAAGAAATCCTTTTGAATTTATAATTGCAAGGATTGTTATTTACCTCATAATCAAAATATGAGCAGAATATTCAGATGTTTTTAACTGAAAAGTGAAATATTTATTTTATTTTAACTAAATTTCTTAAAGAATAAATTTAGGTAAGATCTAGTATGGAATAAGACTGCTGGATCTTATCAGAGCTGTAGACTGTGCCTTTAGGAGTAAAAAAGTGAAAGGAACCAATTGTTTACGTGCTTTGTGAAAAATAATCATCATCCATGAAATCAGCGCATATGGAATTTTGAAGACCTTGAAAAAATTGGGTAAGATTTAATAGGTGAAATCCAGAACTATTTCTCAAAACATTGCTAAAAAATTAACTTTTTTCCACTTTACTAGAGATGTTAAAAGCTCATAAAACATGATAAATGCCATTGCTTCTACCAGAGCATGATTGGAGTCATGCTGGGCACTCCATTAAGCCTATTGCACGAACAGTCACATGTAGACCATGTTTCTTTGACTTCTTTTACTTTTATGGGCATGGTCTACAGCTCTGATACATTTCCAATTGTTCATTCAGAGCTAGAATGATACCAAAATTAAAAAGAATAAAATTTGAATTAAAGTTATAAAATAAACATCAGTCAGATGTTTTCAGCAGTAAGCTGTAGGTGATCTGGATTTGAATCCAATTAAGGTCGTAATTTATCATAAATTATTTGATCGAGATGTTGTTTCCCATATTGCAGATTATACTAGGTGACTGGTTTGTGTGTAATGTGTTAGGTCACAATTGTTCATAGAATTTTTAGTACTGTATAAGACGTACAGTACTAAAAATTGTTGACAAATTAATTGATCAATAAACAAATTTAGAGTTACGATTTTGATTCATTAATTCTGTAATGTGTGTATGAGATATATATTTCTGATTTGTTAGTTCAAGATAAATTCTGGAAAAAAGAAATTTGGAAGAAATTCTTTAAAAAATCACTCATAAAAAGCAAATGACAAATAAAATTATCTTTTTTCTGCTGTTAGCACATAGGAATAAAATGTCGCGTATAAAATGAATAATTTTTGTTTTCCTACATTTTGACAAATAGGCTCTACAGCTATCAATGTGAATCTGATTATTGGTCCAAAACATAATTTTAGATTTTATGGTAAATCTATAACTGTACCATATATTAAATTATTTAATAATCATCCAGGGCCATGCAGTGCTATGATGCAGAGATGCAGCTGCATCAGATGGCACCATAAGGGTACGGCATAAGCAGCATTTAAAGGGTAGCATAAGCGGCATTTAAAAGGCGGCATTTTGAAGATTTGCATCATACTAAGAAAATCTACCGCACAGCCCTGTAATCATCAATTTCGTATAAAAATAGTCAATAAAAATTCTATAGTAAAGATTAGACTTAAAAATACTGTATAACTCAATTATTTGAAAGATAAATATCAAATGATAATGTCATTGGAAGTTAGTCTTTATTGTTGTTTCATATGCCCTTTATTAAAAGATTTTGTTTATAATCTAAATTTATATACATATATAAAAATTTATATTTAATAATATACTAAGTAATTATTTCATTGAAGTAATATGAATGAAAAACTTTTAAACAAGAAATTTTGATTTCTCATAAATTAAAAATTTTTTAAATTAGTTTTTAGAAAAAATACAGTGGAACCTCGCTTAATGAGCATAATTAGTTCCAGAATCTTACTCGTAATGTGAAACACTCTTCAAGCATTTTCCAATATAAATTAATGTAAAATACGATAATGCGTTCCATTCCACAAAAAATACT